CCATAAGCTAGCAGAGAGCAGATTTAGACTGGACATTAGGAGGAACTTCTTCACAGTCAGAGTGGCCAAAATCTGGAATGGGGTCCCAAGGGAGGTGGTGCTCTCCCCTACCCTGGGGGTCTTCAAGAGGAGGTTGGATGAACATCTGGCTGGGGTCATCTGAACCCAGCACTCTTTCCTGCCTATGCAGGGGGTCGGACTCGATGATCTATGAACCAAAAGCCCCTATAAGCTCTTTTTATACAGAAAAGGTACACACGACAAGAGAAACCTCTCACAAAATAACCTTATTTTATACATATAGTACTCTGCCCAGGTTGTTTAAGGATCACATTTACTCTCATGGCTACAAACTATAAAGTAAAAAGTTAGGATCAAAATTAAATGGATACAAAAAAAAAAATATTGAAATTGTCTTTATCTAGGAAATAAACTGAACCCATTCACCTGGGCTGGGGTTTTCTGCCATCTGCCCCCTCTCCATTCCTAACCTGTCCTAGAGGGGCAAAAGTTACCTCTGCTGCCATGGCTGCTCCTCCAAGGAACTTGCATGATGCAACACCGGTGACTGAAGCCACCTGCCCCCATGGCTTCTCCCACCAACCCTGAGAAGGGAAGAGGGAGGGGACACACTGGGCTGAAAAGCATGGCCCCACACACCTGCCTGTCTGCCAGCTCATAGCAGAGACCACTCCTCATGGCATGGGGCAACCAGCCCAGGGCAACAGTTGGAATTCCCAGAAGAGCAGTCATGAGCACTGCTCTTCCATGGGATGCTTGGGCAGGCACAGGCAAGGAGAAATGAGTGCTTACCTCCTCCCACAGAGGCCAGGTGCCAAAGTACACTTAAAGGACCTTACGACACCCTAGTTGACATTCACTGAACTGCAACCTCACAAAATCCATGAAAGACTCTTTTGTTAAGTATGATTGGTTGAAAAAAATTCTCATAAAATTTTTAACGATTGGGCTTGACAAGTATTCCCCCCACCACTCAGATTGTTTTCCATTTAAAAGATTCCTTTTTTGATTATAAATGAAAGAAATTTGATACTTAAATCCTGCTGCTGCACCTCACTTTTAGCTTGGATGATTCATTCTCAGCCTTTAAGGGCTAGAATCCCCACGCTCCATCTGCCATGATCCACCACAGCCATGTGATACTTAGGATGTACAGTCTCCACCTATCATAATGTATAATGGGAGATGTGCACCTATTTTTCATAAGCAAGGATCATTGCTTGGACCACAAGATATCTAAACTACAGTTTCCATAAAACACAGGAACACCGTTTCAGAATCAGAAGATTTCCAGGTTTAAGTTTTTGTGGACACAATAAAGAATTTTCTTTACTGAAATTTTCTATACGTTAAAATCTATTTTCCAACTCTCTCTACTATGAAATATGCCTATCCATTTCAGAGACAAGCAGACAAAAACAAACAAACAAAAATTGGGGGAAAAAAAAATGACTTTTCAGTCATCTTCCCCCTCCTCCAGCTCTTTGTATGATATGCCTAAACTTTTCCAGAAAAAAATATTATGGAGGAATAAGATGTGCCACATAAGATAAAAAAAATGGAATTTACACTTGGTTTTGGTAAAATCTGACTGAAAAGGGAAAATCTCACTCAAAACATGAAACTATATTCAACCTACCAACACCATCCTAATTATTTTAGGGAAGGTTTTCATTCTAACAAAAATCAATGCCCCCTTTATTTTTCCCTTCAAAGAGTCTTGGTTCATCCTTCTCTATGTTCCATCCCTTCAAAACAGCTGAATTTAAAATTGCACATACCTTCCACATATCGCTGACCCATATAGCTGTGATGCTTTGCTAACGCTTTCTGCACATCCTCTTTTGACTCTAGTTCAATCACAGCATCCCCCCTGCGTCTGCCACTGCTGTTCAAAAGGAAGTGTATGCCATTCTCACCGTTTCGAATTTGGCAGCCTAAAAAGATATTAAACAAAAAATATAGGTAAAAAAGTGCAACACAATTCAATAAATATTTTCTTCCCTACCATAGCCTGCTGATCCAGCCAGAACTGTAGCCTGATCCTGCCCAATACAGTTATTCCTCGCTTAACGTCGTATTCACGTTCTTGAAAATTGTGACTTTAAGCAAAACGACATTAAGCAAATCCAGTTACAACACAGTAGTTACCTACTAGCAGGTGGCAGCCAAAAACGTTATAACTGAACACTGCATGACTTTAAATGAGTATGTTCTCTAATAGATCCGTGACGTAATAATGAAACAACATTAACTGGGGCGACATTAAGTGAGGAATATCTGTATTTCATCTAAACAGCATGATACAGTACTCCATTTAAGTGCACAGCTCCAAGACTTAAAAAAGGGCTACGTACTTACCTGGAGCTTGCACTTATCCCAACTTAATGTAAAGAATCAGCGCATGAGGTATGCAGACTGTCAGTACTGAGGTTTTTGCAGCCCTACCTCCTGTAATTTTTAAGGTTCCCAATAGCTTGAGGGCTTCTATCTCTCCACGTTTTCAAAGTGGGCAGTGGGGTTGAAAGACACTGCTCTTCTGATGCATTTGCACTTAACTGATGTACAGATAATGCTGGTGTTTGTTACATTTTAGCAAAAAAATTTTATGCTAATCATATTTTAGCAAAAATTAAGCAGAAAATTTGGACTGGCACAGTGTTCTGCAGTTAAGCAAATTATTAACTTCTTTGGTATTCATATAAGTGGAATACGTTCTATACTGGGGCATCAAACACACGGCCCATAGACTGGACCCAACCCACAAAGCGGTTACACTTTTAGCCCACGGGGTTCTTGGTAGGCTTGGGAATTCAGGAGCAGGGCCTCTTCAAATCCAGGGCTATGGGACCCCATTCAAGATAGCTTTTGGCAGCAGGGGAGCAAGCGACAGCTGTGCCAACACAGCATTGCTTGCCCCACCCCCACTAGGTCCAGATCTGACCCATAAGGAGCCTTGGGGTCCATAGATCTGGTCTGGGGGTCAGACCACCTGATGTCAAATTCTAAGTTTTTCCCACAGGCTGCTCTGGTTTTTAGAAGACACAAAGCCTTTAAATATGTTACCTTTCCTTACCAGGTTTCTTGACATCATCCCTACTCCAATGGTTTTCCCAGATTTGCACATTTTTATAGCATTATAAAGTTATATGTACCAAAATGGCTACCCATACACACACTATACCATAATTAGACAATTTCAGCCTAAACCATGAACGAATTCAGTTTTAACTAGTTATCAAACAAAATTTAAGGACTTGATCCTATGACTTGATCTGTACGGGCAGACACTTCTTCCCCCATGTGGAGTGCAAATGAGGTAAACGGGCCTCTTATGTGGGAGCAGTCTGACCACTTAAATCAAACTAGAGCAGCACAGTGGCCCGTAACTAGCTAGCACACTCTATGCTTTGAGTCTGCAGTTCAAATAATTGAACAGAATTTTTAAAAACCTTTAAGAACAGAATTATTGGTACCCTCATTACACTCACGCATTTGAAAAATATATTTTTAAAAGGAAGAATGCTTAATTAACATTTTATGTCCAAGTTATTTTCTACAGTCAGGTTACGAACCTATGCAAACAACAATTTATACTATCAACACAGAACCTCCACACAGAACAAACAGCTCCCTCTACCATACTAAATACCTGCAAAAACAAATTAACACAAGTAATGCTGCGTCTGGCATTCACAAATAAGTTTTAGGTTAAATTATTCATATTTAAACACACACTCAATCACATTACATTTGGCCAATGAGAATATCTCTGAACAAAAATTAAGCACTATACCGGCAAAAAAGTAAACCACATCTTCCACGGTGCAAGAGTATGGCAGCCCTTGGGCTCGAATGAGAAACAGGTCCTCCTCTTCTTCCACCTTTGGTGAATCTGATTCATATTCAGAGAGCGGAGGATACTCACCTGGAAACTGAGAGGGTTTTTTTTTGTTTTTTTAAAGGATTAAAAAAAGAGAGAATTATTGCTTTTTAAGAAGGATTCTAATATTTCATTTTATTTTAAAAATAACTTGTTTTATAAATCATTCCTTTTTGTGTTAAACATACTCAAAGTCTTTGTGCTAAATGTACTCAATATGGAGCTTTGCCAACAGGTCATAGAACTAAACAGAGACCCAAGCGGCCTGTCAGATTATCTAATCCCCCTGGGAGGGTTGTCTTTTTAACAGTATATTTTTCAATACAGCTAGCTCTAAATTACTTAAACTTAACTACCTTGAAAAGCAGATTTCAAAGAGCTATGAAGAAGGCCATAGGAGTTCACTTCTAGCAACTAACTAGAGATGCCAGAAATGTTTGCAACATAAGACAAACCTACCCAGAAATTATTTTGTTACGACCTCAAAGACCCAGTTCTTTGACGTACTCGACACATTTCCATTCCACAAAAGCGAAAGGAATAATTTCTTTGAATTGGATACATTTAGAGAAGTAGCAATAAGGTTACTTTGAAGGGACCAAGATCTTCTGCTCTCAGGCTGGTTTCCTCAAAGGCCATAGTCTGCCAGAAACAGGCAGCTAACTATTTCAAATGCTTCTTATGTTCCTTTCAAGGAAGTGAGGAAGAGCGTAGAAGACACGTGTGCTCTTATTCTGAATTTTGGAGGAGAAAATTACTACTCTGGAAGGTAACTCCACCAGTGACAGAGATACTGGCTTCCACTTTCTCCACCACTGGCAGGAAAGTCGGTCCTTGCTCCTTGCAGAAAACACAGCCCCAGAAGTTACCACCTGACCACCATGACTGAAAAAGACAGAGATGACCTTTGAGCCACCCAACAAGAAAAAGGGGCCAGGCCAGCTTTCCTCAGGGCTGCCCACCACAGGATTTTCAGTGGCCCTCTGAGGGATGAGAAAAAGGACAGGGAGAAGCAGGACACGGAGGCGAGCAGGGGAGATGAAGCGCAAACCAGGCGGTCTAACCCAAGTGACCTTGCCGGTGTCCTCCACAGGCCGGGCTGCAAGGAGCAGGGCAGGCGCTGCGTCCCCGCGCTGGGACAGGCAGCCGTACCCAGGGGCAAGAGTCGGGGGCAAGCCCGGGCTGAGGGGGACCGGGGCCAGACCCAGGCCCGGTGTGGGGGAGTACCTTGCTGCTGTGGGTGTAGCCGCGCCCCGCGGCCAACAGCGGGCCGCGCAGG